AATTTCTAACTCTCGCCAAATAACCCAAAATGACCTTCGGACCCCCGAATCCACTTCCGGACGTGCTCCTGATACCAAAATCACCATACGGAGCTATTCCCTGACTCGAAATCCCTAACGGACATCGATAACATTGAAATGCACTTCAACCCAAATTTATGAATTTCTCCCAAAAATGCTAACTTCCACAATAGGCGCCGAAACGCTCCTGGGTCATCCAAAACTTGATCCGAACATACGCCCAAGTCCGGAATCATCATACGAACCTGCTGGAACCTTCAAATCCTGATTGCGAGGTCGCTTACTCAAAAATCCGACCTTAGTCAATTCTTCCAACTTAAAGCTTCCAAAATGGGAATTTTCTTTCCAATTCAACTTCGAACTTCCCGAATTTCAATTCCGACCACGCATACAAGTCATAATACCTGAAGTGAAGCTCCTCATGGCCTCAAACCGACGAACGACGTGCTAGAGCTCAAAACAAACGGTCGGGTCATTACATTCTCTCCCACTTAAACATACGTTCGTCCTCGAACGTGCTAAGAACTGCTCTGGAGTTGTCAGAAATCACTATTTAACNGTTACACATAAGAATTTCTCAAATAATTATTTAATTAATATTCTTTAATTATTTTCAAATATGAAATCCAAATTTGAAATTTCAAGTCCCGAAATCCTCAATTTTCAACTTTTTTCAAGGCATTTAATAAGCCAACACTGACCTAAATTCCTTCCAAGGCAAGGAAATAACAGGATCTCAAAATAACGGTATCAACAAATCATGGTGTAAGCTAGAAACTACCGGGACATAGGGCATAATTTAGTACGAGAGTCCGTACGTAGCCCTCACAAATAGAAGCATGTATTATTTAGTTCACCTATGGTTAATTTAGGGTTAATTCACTCTTACCAGGTTAGAAAGGAGACTTACCTCGCTCCGAAGTTCCATAAAACCGGCTCCCAAGTCATTCAAAGCAATCAAATCCGCATTTGCCCAACGCTTCAAAACTGTCAAAAATGAGCAAATCCATAAATATACTCTAATAAAATCCTAAAACTCATGTTACAACCAATTTCCAACTCCGTTCTGAAGAAGTCGATAAAAATTCACCCTCGAAGCCCACCTGGTGCGCGGGGTTATGAAAATTTTTAAAGATAAACTTACCCATTTAGAATCACCGAACTTCAAATATATAATTTATCTAAATTCCATGTCTAACTTTCGCGCCGGTCAAATCCAAAAATACCGATTTCTAGGTTTTTCTTCAAATCTCAAAATTTCTAACAAATTTTTCATCCTAAATCCATATATTAATCCAAGTATTTAAACTTGCAATAGGTGGAAATCCACTTACCTTGACATGGATGGCGAATTATCGCCCTTTCCAAGAGCTCCATAAATCGTCCAACACAATTGAAAAAATGGGAGAGAAATGAGCAAAAATCCCTTTATAAAACTTCCACCGGCCCAGGAGACCCCTCCTCCGCGAACGCGAAATCCCCTCGCGTTTCGCGAAGGACAAACTTGCACGCTCTATAAATTCCTCTTCGCGTTCGCGGCCCCACAGTCGCGTTCGCGAAGGCTAAGCACTTCCTGGCCCAGCTCTTCTTCCTTCTTTGCATTCGCGAGCACTGTGTCGCGTTCTTCGTAAACTTGACTAGCCCTTGCTCGCGTTTCGCGTCCATTGCCTCGCGTTTCGCGAAGGCCAAATCAGCAGGCCCAAAAATTTCCCTTCGCAAATGCGGGACATTCTTTCGCGTTCGTGAAGAAGGAAACCAAGACACCAGCCAAAACAAACTATTCCAAAATTTAGCTCCAATTGATCCGAAACCACTCCGAAACGCATTCTGGGCTCCCCGGGGGACCCCGTCCAATCACACAAAAACCAATCCCATACCATAATACGGTACCCTGCTCGAGACTCGAATTCACTCAAACAACGCTTAAATCACGAATCACACCCCATTCAAACCTTAATGAACTTAGAACTTCAAACAATCTACATTCGGATGCCGAAAACCTATTCAAATCCACGTCCGATTTACCTCAAATTTTGCACACAAGTTATATTCAAACATTACGGGAACCTTCTTTCAACTTTCGGAACGGATTCGACCCCGATATCAAAAATCCACCCCCGATCAAAACTTCTTTCAAAAAACCTTCAAATTTTTTAACTTTCGCCAAATAAACCCATTAATAACTTTTCGGACTTCCGAATTTCACTCCGGACGTGCTCCCAAAACCAGAATCACCATAGGGAGCTATTCCCTGACTAAACGAAATCCCAAACAGACGTCGATAACATTGAAATGCACTTCAACCCAAATTTATGAAGTTTCTTCAAAAATGCTAACTTTCCACAATATGCGCCGAAACGCTCCCGGGCATCCAAAACTCGATCCCAACTTACGGGCAAAGGTCCGGATCATCATACAAACTGCTTGAACCTTCAAATCCCGATTCCGAGTCGTCTACTCAAAAATCCAACCTTTAGTCAATTCTTCCAACTTAAAGCTTCCAAAAGGAATTTTCTTTCCAATTCAACTCCAAACTTTTCGAATTTTCAATTCCGACCATACGTACAAAGTCATTAATACCTGAACGATGCGCTAGAGCTCAAAACGACCGGTCGGGTCGTTACAGATACATGTGTTCGTAGAAGATTTTTTTGAAACTCGATTTTAACTACGAATTTTTGATACCAAAATCAGTCCAAATCACCTCCAATTCTTTCCTCCAAATTCGTATATTGACTCATTCTATATGTTTTTCGATGAATTCAACCATACCCATTTGAAAAATATTCCTTTTTGCTAGATTTTTAGAATATTATATTAATATATATATATATATATATATATAATATATATATATATCAGATATAATATATATAAATCATCTTGTTTGCTACCTCATTCCATGAAACTTTCTTTTCGTTTTGCATCTTTTGTTGCTGATCACGAAAATTAAAAAAATATGGAAGGAGATCTTTGCGTGTTGATTTCTTGGAGGGAAATATCCTTATTTATTGTTGGTTTCAATTTTGTATTGTAACTTGAATATTTTTGATAAATCATAAATTAAATGGCTAAAAGAGTGTAGTTTAGGACTATTTGAACATTTACGTAAGGTTTCCCTTTTAAAATGTTGAATGTTCATTTCCGGAAGCTTACCGACCTAAAAATCATCAAAGTCCTTTTTCTTGGCTTCTATTAAGCCCATCATCCTTTGTTACGTCACAAAATTATGGTGTAACAAAATTTTTTGAATCACTGCTACAAAGTCAAATTGGACCTTAAATATAATAATGTACGCGAAAATCGCTTTTAAATTTTTGATTGCTCAAATATGATTTCTATAATGTTTCGACAGAAGGAGTATATAAAAAAAAACTCAAAATTAATTCATTATTAGCTCAAAACCAAAATTGCTATAAATGTATATATGAATATACATTAGGCAATAATCACTTGGGATTATAATTTATAGTTATAACAAACATCTCCACAAAAGTAATTATAAACCTCATGGTTTGTCATGTTGTATATTAAAGATTTATACTATAAATGTTTATTGGTCTACCGTGTTAATTGACGCCAGTGATACCTCGAGGGACAAATAATCAATTACATAAAGAGTGATTTACTCACCAAAAAATAGGCTCAATATCTTTTATATTGTAAATTCAGTCAAAGTCTATCTTCTTTTTCAAATTTTTTCACGAGAATACTTAAAAACCAATGAATTAGAAGATAAATTTCAAACAATGTTTTAGAGTATATGTTTTGTTACACAAACTAGTAAGAATTTTACACACTATTTTATTAAGTGACCTGCAATATAGATAATTCTCTTTAACTGATGGGGTAGCTCAAAATTTAATAAGATAATTAATGCATATATAAACATAATCCAATATATAAATATAGTTATTCCAGATCTAGCTCGATTAAACTAGTCGTATTTCGTTCAGTTTTATGACAATAAATCCACAACTTCTATTGAGGGCATTAAAGGTCGAGAAAAGTATAAAGAGAAGGAAAATATATGAGAAAGCTACAAAGATTGCTTAACTAGTGAAAATAATAAAAATTGTCTACCAGATGTTATGAAGTTCTTTAAACATTTAACTAACTCATTATTCTTGCCATTTAAAATTTTTGCAAAAAAAAGATTTAATAGTCTTAACTCTTAGTAATTATAAAAAGTATCTCTGTAATCCTTTTCTAATTGTAAAAAACAAGTCATATCTTTAATTAACCACTCTATCAACTTGAGACAGTAAGGAAAGACTTAGAAAAAAGTAAAAATGTCTTTTCTTGTTTTTGAAATGTCAAATATTTTAATTTGCTAAAACGATTAATATTATTTTTTTTCTTCATATTTTTGAGGGTGAGATTATCTGCCACTAGGGGTGGCAAAATGGTTAAAAGAAAACAGTTAACCACCCATATTATCCACGAAAAAATGGATTGGATAATGAACTTTTTGAAAACGGGTCAAATATGGATAAGAACCATATTATCCATTTAGAAATGGATAACCAATGAGTAACCAATGGATAACCAATGGGTCTAACTTTTAAATTTGTAAAGCCTCAAATTGGTGGTTCCTCAAGTTAGGGAGGCTAAGTATTTTCCCAAAAGTGATCATATGCAAGAAGTCATGGATAATATGGTTACCCATATTATCCGATAATATGGTTACCCATATTATCCCGGTTAAACTGTTTTTTATCCGTATTAAATATGGGTCGAATCGGATAATTTATCCGTTTTTCATTACCTGTTTCCGACTCGAACCATATTCGACCCGCCCCGCCCGTTTGCGACTCTATCTGCCACATTATTTTAATTCCACATGGTGTGTCTGTGGTCCTTACAGTTGTTCTTGTGTAGTTGAGTAGAAGTTAGGCAACTTTCAGCTACATTTCTATGAGGTCTATAACTACATGAGTAATGACTAGGTGAACTGTGACAACTACCTTTTTAATCTCTGCTACCTAAGTCTAAAGTCTTCCCCACATTTACCTATAGACCCTGTCAACAAGTTATATTAGGACATTAATTTAAATAGAGAATCATTTTCTTAGTCCTGACAAAATCTTGGATGAAACTGATGATCCACTTTGTATTCATCCTCAACTTCAACTATCTTCCAAATTTTTAAAGATTTTTTTATCCTTTTACTTTTCTTGGTTTTGTGAACAAATGATCTTGTTATATATGACATAGATAGAAAATGGTTTTGTTGTTTGTCTTTCATTGTCACTTGAGGAACCATCAAGATTGGTATTACCAAAGTTGATAAAATTTGAGTCTTTGAGGGGAGTTTCTTGCTACAATTTTATTCTTGTTTAATAACCAAAATATACAAATCTTGGCTTACATTTTGACCCTACAAGAAATGTCATAGTACAAATTTTTGTTTCCTCATATCTCTGGTGGGCAATTCACTGTAGCTGGATACCAAAACAGTTAAGAAGCAATCTCTTTAATGTTGGTTTTTCCTTCAATGAATTGTGTGGTTTTGTGAGTCAATATAATTAAAGCTTGTCTGCTCTGTATCTACCTATGCCCACTTTCTTTAATTCCACTTTTGGCCATAACTCCATTTGAAAACTCCGCCAAAATTTGCATAATATAAACACTTTGCTTTTTTACCCTTTTTACTATATAGTGGTATAAAACTAGTGTGTGTTTATCTAGCATTGCAGCAGTTCTTGAATTATCTTGGATCAGCAAAAAAAAAAAAAAAAAAAAAAAAAATTTAATGCAATGTTATTTTTCTTGGTTTCTTGTTTTTCTTTCATACTACTATTTTCTAAGTCTTGGAAGAGTACAATGGGAGATTTCTCAAATATCTGGTTCTGTGAAGATTTTTTGAAGTTTTTGGCTTCATGGTTCAGAAAAGATAGGAATGCTATTAGTTACTTGAATTTGCCTCTAATGAAAAAGAGTGTTGAGTCAAAACTAGAGAATGTTGTGGAGAAGGAAGAGGAGATTTCTTTATTGGATTTGCCTGATTTGACTTTGGAATGTATCTTTGAGAGACTTCCACCAAATGGTCTTTGTAGTATGGCTGCAGTTTGCAGTTATTTGAGAGAAAAATGCAGAAGTGATCATTTGTGGGAGAAACATATGAAGGAAAAACGGGGTGCATTGATAGGATCTGTTGCTTATAGAGAACGGCAATGCTACATTGCTTCAAGAAATAATGATTCCCTCTTGGAAAATTCAAGAAAAAAGAGAGATTTACTTGGGAAATTTTCAGAAATTAGGAAACTTTTATGGAATAGATCAAAAGGAAATGAAGATAACAGCAAGGTTAGAAGTTCTTCAGCAATTATGGATTGGTATCTCTCCCTTGAGTCTGGCAAGTTTTGGTTCTCAGCTCAGGTTTTTAACCGCGAGGTAATTGCAGAAGAGTTTAACTTTTATACACTGATTGCATAAGAACATTTACCAATATCATGTTGTACTAGGTTATATTGTCCCTTCCCTTCTTTTCTCGTCTTTTCTATCTTCTTGACCCAATGGTCTTTCGCAGTGGCAAAACTAGAAATTTCTCCAAAGGTGTTCAAATTTAAAAGAAGTGAAAAAAAATTCTCGACAAAGAGTATTCAATATGTTTTATATACCTCTAAAACGTAATATTTTACCTCTGTACACAGTGTAATTTTTCGATGGGACCACTCTTATAACCATGTGCCCTCGCCACTGGTCTTTCGGAAACAACCTCTCTACTCCTTCGGGTAGGGGTACGGTCTGCGTACACACTATCCACCCCAGACCCCACTTGTGGGATTGTACTGGGTTGTGGTTGTTGTTGTTGTTGTATGTTGTACTAGGTTACCTGCATTATTTTTCAGGTTACTAATTCCAGAAATCATGGGTTGTTGCATGTAGTTTTTACAAACATTTTTCTTTTATTAATATAAAACTTGGTTCTCAGCTCAGGTTTTTAACCGCAAGGTAATTGCAGAAGAGTTTAACTTTTATACACCGATTGCATAAGAACATCTACCAATATCATGTTGTACTAGGTTATATTGTCCCTTCCCTTCTCTTCTCGTCTTTTCTGTCTTCTTGAGCCGAGGGTCTTTCGGAAACCGCCTCTCTACTCCAGGGGTAAGGTTTGCGTACACACTAACCTCCCCAGACCTCACTTGTGGGATTGTACTAGATCGTTGTTGTTGTATGTTGTACTAGGTTACCTGCATTATTTTTCAGGTTACTAATTACACAAATCATGGGTTGTTACCTGTAGTTTTTACAAAAAAAATTCTTTTATTTATATAAAACTTGATTCATTTAGTATCTCTAGAACTAAGTGCTGATAGATGATGCTTTTTCTCTTGTAGGTGCAGAATGGCCATGTTGGTTTTATGCTATCTTGTTATGATGCTGAAGTTAGCTATGATTGTAGCACAAATACCTTCAGAGCAAGGTAAAAATTTTACCCTTGAATGAGGAAGATAGATGAATTCAAGATTTGGTTTTTCTTTTAGTCCTTTAGCCTGACTATGAATGAACTAATTTTGCAGGTATCCGTCACAGGCGAGGCGAATAGTAGAAGAAAACATAGAATGGAATAGGCTAAGAGCACCAACTGTTGATACTCCTCCTTATGTTCTTCATGTATCTGATTGCTTAAGTGATCTGAAACCTGATGAACATTTTGAGATTCAGTGGAGAAAAAGCAAAGAGTTTGCATATGGTGTGTTTTTTGGTCAAATTAAAGGCTAATTGTTATTCCATTAGAATTTAGCACTTTCTTGATTTCATGACTTTGTTTTTAATTTGATTAGCATTGAAATATACTCTAAAAGTTCTGCTGATTGTGCTGCAGGTTGGTGGTATGGAGTTGTTGGACACTTGGAATCTTGTAATGGCAACAAATTGAATTGCCATTGTCATTCCAGTGGTAAGAAATATTGACCTTTCAATCAGTAAATATGTTGTGAGCTCTTATGTTACCAATTGAAAATCATGGTTAAATAACTCTAGCTTAAAGTGTTAGAGAGAGCACGTTTTTAATTACTTAATTATGTCGTCAACCTGTACTGTACGTATGTTGAACGAGAAATTCATGATTACCATTCTCGCGACCAACTTATTCGCAGACACAGTGCTACTGGAGTTCAAACAGTACAGTCCCGGCTCGAGATGGAGGCAAATAGTGATAAACAGAAAGGAATATAGAGAAGTGGGAAATGAAGCAGATGGTTTTTATGGAGGAATCAGAAAGCTTTATAGTGACAAAGAGATTTCATTGTGGAAGAGCCTCTGTCCTAGCAGCACTTTGGAATAGCACACAAAGAGCTCTTTCCATTTTTTCCATTTTTCAGCTATTCTGATTTTTAATAGAATACAGCTTATAGAGAGAGAGAGAGCATAATTAGGCTTTTGAATTTATGCTCGCCTGTGTAGTGGCTAGAGGTTTTCCAAATATATATCTTGTCAGAACATGTATTTTTGTGCATAATGAAATAAAGCTTCTTCCTTCTATCTGTTTTCTACTTGGTCCAAAGGTAGAGAAATACTTTTTTCTTTTTCCTTTGTCTTTTTTCTTCAATAAGGTATGGATATTTGTGTTATAATAATGATTTTAAAGTATTTCAGTAACTTTCATATGATTTTCTTGGGACGAGTACTAGAGTAACCTAGTTGTTTTCCCAGCTTTGTGTTTGAGTTTTTTCTCTTCAATAACAATTAATTAGTGTAATCTCTATGATACTCAGGAGTCTCTGAAACAAGAGATTCTTTAAATCTCACACTGCAAGAAACGTAAATGCAGGGGTGAAATTTAAAAATAGCCAGATTTACAATTGGTCGTTCAAAAATAGCCCAGTTTCAAAAGTAATCGAAATTTAACCACTTTTCATGCAAAGATAAATCTGAGTGAAAACACTGATCAAAACCCCGGAAAATAACAGTATATTATACTGGAGTTCCAGCATACTTATCCTGGAACTCCAGCATAATATGATGGAGTTCCAGCATAAGTACACTAGAACTCCAGCATAATATATTGGAGTTCCAGCAAGTATACCGGTCCAGCATAATATACTGGAGTTTGGAGCACCGATGCTCCAGTCTCCAGTATATTATACTAGAGCCAGCAAAGTATACCGGTGCAGCATAATATGCTGGAGTTCATACACAGGTGCACCGAACTCCAGTATATTATGCTGGATCGGTCTCTGTTGCAGCAAAATAGTGGCTATTTTTCATTGACTTAGTAAACGCTAGCTATTTTTGAATGACCAGTCCGAAAACTAGCTATACCGTGCTATTTTGACTAAATGTAGGTATGATAAATTTAACATTTGTTGATCCGGGCACCACCATTTTCAAGAATTTAACAAAGAATGACTCGAACAATACTTTGCATATTTGCAATTGATTCCACAGAAGTCAATATGATAATTTACAACATGTAGAAACAGGCTATTCTCTCAAGTAGTACCTAACAACTCTGATATTCACAACAAAAATTGAGTGAAAAGTGTAAAGTATAAAATGATCATGCTCAAAAGAATCCAATTAAGCATCTGAGAGCTAACATTCTTCATTGTCTCTTGTATAAACAGGTATTTCCCATTTCTTGGTATTCTTTTTAGGATCATCGCTGAGGCTGAGATCAGTATCATCTTCTTTCATTGTTTTAATAAATGTTTTTGCTCCCATCATAATAAGCCTTTCTATCATGAAGAGCTGGTAATTGTTCTCAATCAATGGATCCAAAATGCTGCTGTAATTTGATGAATAGGCCAGCTTGTACCTGCAAATAGTAACAAAGATTATAGCAGGCAGTGCTAATCATGAAGACGAGAAAAATTAAACCTGCAGCAGTTATGGTATTCCAGGAGTTGATCAAATGCATTTTAACATGCAGCAATGAAACACAAGCTTTTATGATTGATACTTTCTCCTACTACAACCAACACTATTCGTTTAACCAGGAACTTGCTTTTAGTAATCCCTACAAGTTAGCAGATGTTTTCTTTTTAAGTAAAAGTATAGTCTTGTTTTTTTTTTTTTGAAGAAGGTAACAGATTTTATATTAAGTAAAGGTATAGTCTTGTTAGAGATTTATACGCCAATAGAAAATGTAGAGAACTTCTAATGCTACAGAAACTAAGTTTTTTATAATAGTGGACTGAGACACAGGCTAATGAGTTTTAGGAAGACCATAAGAAAATAAGAGTTATATACTTCAAGCGACCAAAAGAAATAGTGCATATTACTCTTGTATTGCGTAATAAAAATCAAGTGGACATGAAGATTAACAAAAGAGTTGGAAGATCACTAACCTCACAGCCAGAGGAGAAAAGAAGCCTGGTGTCCTCTCATTAGAAGCAATAAAAAGGGTTCGCCCATGCCGGACCCATTTTGCTATTCTGCAAAGAATGAACTCTGGACGTGTATCCCTGTCCAAATGAGGGTGCAAACTTCGATCAACCCCAAACCTGTCCTTCCTTGTCTTCAGAACATCACCTCTCCGAACATGCATAGCATCATAATCACCAAGCAGCGCCTTGATCTAAAGAAATGACAGATTCCACCAAACCACAGGAGAGTGTATCTATTAGTAGTTTCAAAACATATGCACTGAGGAGATGGACAATGGCCTTTATGGCAGCAACCTTACACAGCCACTTATGCAACAAATGAAAAGTTAGGCATATTATATAAGGAAGCTAATAAAGAAAAAAAAAATTATAAGTTGCATTTATAGATTTGAACAAATATGATGTTTGATATTGAATCCAATGGACTCAATATATCGAGAAAACAGAGTAGGAGATGTAATAGCAATCTAGTTCTACTGCTATGAGGAAACAGATTGATAAAGGATTTCAATTTCACAAATAGATAATAGAGTGCCAAAATAAATTTAAGTAGTTAAATTGAAAAAGTGAAAAGCGTGCGGTTAACTAACCTTTTCTGCTGCATGCCGTAGTTTTTCCGCAGCCATTGAAGGAAGAAACCAATACGGCAGAAGAATGGAGCTGTGATTTTTCCTATCCTTGCATTCTGCAAACCTGAATGATTACCATTATCAACTATACAGTAACTCTATCAGAATTCAAAAGTAGATCCAATATAAAATTCAGAACAATTTATCCCCTATTACAAGCTCTATTTTTCCAGCAAATGAAAGCTTGCACATGAGTGAGTACTTAAAGTCAAACTGGTTTGTAAAGGGAACAAAAAAAGATAATAACTAATACGACTTTTCAGCTGTTGTGAACTAATCCTTGCATAGCTAATCTTCTTGTCCATTTTCATGAACAAAATAAATAAGGTTTTGCAATCTGGCAAAACAATGGAATTAAATTCATCTATGGATAATTTCTAATACCAAGAGGACACCGTCTTTCCTCTAGACAAGAAAAATAAAGAAGAGAAGAGAAAGTTGAGCAATCCAATAGCTTATCACTTGAAGGGAGGCAACATAGGAAAGAGTAAGTATACCAAGAAAGTGGGCTTGCAGTTCGATTGATAAGCAAAATGTTTGAGTACAAACTTTTTTCTTTGAGATCAGTCCTGCTAACTCCTTCAACGTGGGCAACCCCTCTAGAACCTAATTTCATGCTTGTTGCCAGGACATGATGCCACATTTCGGAGTTGTCCAAAATTACAGGTACAGTGTCAGAGATGAGATCCACATCATACAAAGAATCCATAGCACACGAACTATCTCCCCACCTGCCAATTAGATCCACATAAAGGAAGTATATAAATTACAGGTACAGTGTCAGAGATGAGATCCACATCATACAAAGAATCCACACCTAATTACTGCATAGGGCCATGCATGACTATGGTTATCACACACATACTCTGCAGTTCTATTTTGGTTGGTTACCTTTATTTGAAACCAGAAAATTCCACAAGAGACAATATATTTATTTATTTTTATATTGTTTTAAGAAGTAATAAGAATTAATCAATTTCCTCATACAGCCATAAATACATTTTACATACTGCTGGATGCAACCTAATTAACAAACTCCACCATGCCATAACTACAGAAAATGCACCTTTCCTCAGAAGTGGATGCAAACTAATCAATGAATTGCAACGTGGCTATAAGACAGAATATGCACCTTTCCTCGGAGGTTGAATTGCTGGACCGATGAAGAATCCCTTTCTTATTGTGGATTGGATTGAGACACATCCTTGAAGGCATAACAAATGTTCTGCAAACAGCAGTGGTCTATTCTTAGATAAGAAGAATGTCAAAACTACAAGTGCTCCGACTTTTAAACACAACTTAAAAATGCTGGTGCCATATTGCTGAATGTCTGGTTTGTGGCTGGAACAACACAAACATGGAATTCTGTACACATAAATGTGGTTAACCAAATTTACAGTAATATAATATTAGTTGCTGCATGCATGTCAAGTCTTATGCCCATAATCTTAGCATAAATGATCCTAGGATGACCAAATGAAACGGACCTAGAATTCCCACGCACGCAGAACTCAGTAGTACCATTTTTTGAAGGGATCGAATTTTCTCACCTAAATAAACAGAAAAGAATGGTAGCTAACATATTATGTTGCTGGAAATGTAATCCAAAGATCAGAATCACTTCATACATTGAAACAGCTGATCAATCCAAGATGCAGACTTCATTCTCACAAAACATTCCGAAGTTTCAGTATACTTCTAACAGAGACATTAAATTGACCTTGAATATACGCATTACGCAAGGTAACAAGAACTGAATCTCAGGAAAAAACCACTGCAAATTGCTACAATCATCAAATGCTAAAAAGGGAAGCTAGGTGCACGAAGCATCCCGCATACACACAGAGTACTAGAAGGCCCGCAGCCCAAGGGGTGTGATGCAGTAAGCCTACCTGGGAAGGGTCAGTGGTTGATTCCACGGCCTGAATCCGTGGTCAAACAGAGACTCCCCTTCAACAATCATCAAATGCTATTATTTATTTATTTTCTAATAAGGGAAACAAGCAATCATCAAATCCTATTCTTGTAATTTGCTTCAATCAACAAATGCTATTATTACACCCAGGGGCGGAGCCAGCCCTTCGGCTACAGGTTCGGCCGAACACAGTAGCTTTGGTCCAAACCTTATATTTGTCTTAAAAAATTATTAAATATGCACAAATTGTTAAGTTAGAACCCAGTAACTTAAAAGAATTAAAATTCTGAACCCATAAGCTTCAAATACTAACTCCTGATTACACCAGCCCAGCTCAAAACTGCAGCAAATGTTCCCTAAACTACAA